TATCATTAGGAAATGTTTATATATGTTTTACATATTGATAATTATGAAAGTGTTAATATTAAATCACTTGATAAACACAAGTATGATTTTAATAGATAATATTTTTTTGTGTGTAATCATTTTTAAATAACATGTCACAACATTTAAAAAATAAATACCAACAGAAAAAAGTCGTACAGCAAGAAAATTGTTTTACACTCGTGATTTTAGTATCAAACAAACTAAAAAATCTGGATTGTTTTTTCACTTATAGAATTTGGCTAAACAATCAGGAAAAAAATGGGTTTTGAAAAAATAATAACCCGACTTTATAAAGAAAAATAATATAAAACAACTTGTAAGACTATTTTCTAATGTACGACAATTTTGTGGTGCTCTTTATTATTAAATTTTTATACATGAATACTCATTTTCAAATGTATTTGGATTTAAACAAAAAAATGAATTTGTTTTAACAATTATTGTTAATAATTTGTGTTGCTTAATGAGTTTTTTAATTAAAAAATGGTGTGGTAATAATCAAAACAAAGTATGTCAAAGGTGAATGTTTTTTTAATTTTTTTATATGACAGTGTTTCGAAAAGAACCTAATTCTACAATTCATCATATGTACATTTGTTTCTGTATCGGCGAATAGTAATTAAAAATTAAATCAATGTTTTTTTATATGTAAAATAGTTTCTAATTCAATATGATTACAAAAATATATTTTGAAATAACGCATTATTTAAAGGAAAATATCTTTGTTTGTAACTTATAATAATTATCAACACCATATTATCCAATAAATAGAAGACAAACTTTAATTAAATAGACAATTTAAATAAAGTTTGTCATATATGTACATGTTCTTAAACTGAAAAGCAAATACTTTATTTTAAAAACACAAAACAATTGTTACCATTAAAAACAGAGTATAAAATTTGTTGTTTTACGATCTTAATTGTCTGTAATAAACAACATGATATTTGATAAGACATATAAGTGTTGAATTGATTTTTGATCACTAATAACGATGTTTGTTTTTTGGTATGATATCATTAAAGGAGTTGTTCTTTAAAAACAGTATTTTTCTATTTTTTACACATTTCATTTTTTATTTGACATTTAATTTTTAAAAAGTCTTTAGTTTTTTTTAACCAAAATGATCTTTTTTCCTCTTTGTTTTTTATTCCAATTCTAATTATATTTTTTTCTTTTGCATTTTCCATCGTTTTTTTTCTGCCAAATATTTTCAAATCAACCAACTTACAAAAAAACGGGAAATATTTTTTTTCATTTAAAAAACAATCTTTGGGTATTTTTTCCCGCCTGTTTGCATTAAAAAAAATAAAAACAATTTTTTTCATATAAAATTCTGCAGATTTGGGCTCAATAGCTTATTTTGGGATACCCTGCTTCAAATAACAGACAAATTTGAATTTATACAATTTATTAAAGTAATTACAATATAGAATGTTTTTTGTTTCATTATATATAAAGTAAAAATAAAGAATAATGTGTAAATGTAAACATTTTTTTATTTATATAAATCAAATAAAAAAACGAATTCAATAAAAAACTTGCATGCATACATTCAAGAAATGTTATTATTCATATTAAATTGTTTTATGTGGTATATTTGTTTAATTTGATAAACAAAAAATATCAAAATTTACAGTCGATACTCTATCGGATTGGTATTCTATTGGATTTGGTTTTATATCCAATCAAAACTTGTTCCAATCCGATTTTATAAATATAAAACCCGTATAATTAGTACTTAATAGCGTAATACAATCTTATTTTCTTTTTTACTTTTTTGGTTTTGTGAATAAAAAAAACTAACTTAATAGTATTGAAATCAAGAATTTGGCAATCTATATAAACGAGTAATTTTTTGGTGATAAATGCATTTGATTTGTCAAAATCGTAAAACCAAAATTATAACAATAAAATATAATAATTGCAAAGAACAGATTTATTATAATAATAATATAAAACTTGGTGTACAACTTAGTGTTCACTAATAAGTTGAACACAAGTTTTTATTAAAATAATCACAATTATTACATATTACAGAATAAGCATTTAAACCACAATTATATCTATTCGCAATTTCTAATATAGTCAGTCTTTTAACGTCATCTGGTGGACATAAAATAGCTTTAATTTTGTCAAAACATTAAGCATTAAGTAAAAAGTGAAAAAAACAAAACGATTGAGATGGATTTTAAAGACGGCTTTCCAAAATATGCCAATATTTATGTTTCAAAAGGTACCAGATAACGTTTAAAGACAGACTGTATCTGTTTTTTATCTGCTTAATATCGAGAATTTTTTTGATTTAAGATATTAAGTATTGTAATAGATACTACAATAATAAATCCATTATGTGTTTATGTGTTTTTAACATACAAATTAAAATATGAATAATGACAAATAAATTCATATGTTTACACTTGTCTCTTATTATTGTTCTGTTAAAATATTCATTTTACGTTTTTAAATTATGTTTTTGTCAAAAGAAATGAATAATGCCAAAAAATATAAAAATTAAAAATAAAATTTTCTTTTTATTTTCCAATCCTTGGGAAAAACCATTTTCCCATCATTCCAATCCGATAGAGTATCGACTGTATAACACTTTGAAAATCGCCAAAAAGAACTCTTCCGTCTGCTGTATTTCAAAGAAATTTTTCAGCCAAGTTTAATCAATGGCAAAACAGTAATGTGGTATATAAGTTTTAAGCGTTGATGCACTCGCCATTTCCTTGATACTTTTTTCAATGTGTTCTTTTATGGGATTCTGTTTCATAATACCAATAAGTGTTGAAACCCCTCATTTTCTACCAACCATTTGAGTACATCCATCACTTGTGCAAAACACATACTTTACAAGTGAAGCATAAAAAAAGTTTGGTGCGTCCAGTACCCATTTTGTGATATTCTCTGCCGTCATTCTTTCGAATATTTCACTTAAAACAAGCTTCTTTTGAGTTACAACAAAATCGTCAAAACTAAATCTACAGATAAGATTAACAATTTTTAGTACCATTTTTTGTGTGTCGTATTTATAGCAATCCCATAGCAAACACATTTTTTAACATTTGAACAATTTATTTTTTGTCTTCTTTTTTTACATAGTCACAACCTTGATATTTTTGTGTGGATAATATGAATTTTTGGAAAAGTGTGTCAATGTTTTGATGTTTTGCAACTAACATTGAAAAAAGTTGACATTTTATTGAATTTTACTATTTATAACATATAATAAAATAATATTATATTAGTTGTGTAATTATATAGTTGGTTGGCGTTCTCACTTTATAACCTTTTGTTGAGAATTATATGTATACGAGATATATTTACAAAGTAATATTATTTAACTATCGTTTTAATTATTTTGGTTTAAATTTACTCAAAAAACCGAATGTATTTAAACAACATTACTAGAGTGATTCGGAAACCGTTGTCACGTCGCCAACTTTGTCCTGGGCTTTTTGGTCAATGAAAATTGGAAAATATCGGGATAATATTCGAATTATATATCGAATTATATATTTACATTGCGCCTGATGTGTTGAAACAATAAAAATATAAAAAGACGGTTGATGTGTTTTCATTTGGAATTACCACGTGTGAGTGTTTTGAATGGGTAGATGTCTATAACAGAGAATCTTTATATTTTCTTTGGAAAATAGCAGAGTTTGTCGCTGAAATATTAAAATTAAACAATTTCAAGAAACCACAATATTTTAATAATTTACAATTGAATTGTCGTTTTAACAAATATAATATTGTTTAAAAATAAATACATAACTTAATTTAATAGTAGTAAATAAAACAAAAAACTTTTTCTAATTAATTAAAGTTTGAATTAGATAACAAAACTAAAATTTGATTAGAATTGTCAAAAAAAACAATGAATATAACCCCCAAAATATCACAAAATATATTGCACATATATTCAAAAAAATATGATGTGAAAACCACTTTTTAACAGCCAATATTTCATTACAAAAATTGGTCTTTTTTTGTAACCCAAAGTAATTAAAAAAATTTGAGAATATGATATGTTTGCATTATTTATTAACATTTTTAAATGCAATTAAAATAAAATGTAAATTTTGTTACTTGGTGTTCTCTTAATCTTATTGTTTCTATGCGAACATCTATATAAAGTCATTAATTAAACCGTGCAACTTTGACGTGTCAGTGCAACTTTGTTTTTAGTATAATTATAAAAAAAAATAATTATATAATTTTATGAAACAAAACAAGAAAACACAAACAAATTTCTTTAAAACTATTACTCTAATTAAAATACCATAACTAAACTATAACTTAAGTTGCACATTTTTCTAAATTAGTTTTTTGGGTTGCACCATTTAACTGCCTTTTGTTTACCGTAATTTTGCAGCGAGAGAGTCTTTGAATCACACGAATTGGCTTTTCTCATTATTTTCTTTTTTATAAACGAGATGTTTAACATCTGCGCCATCCACAATCGATATACAAAACTGTTTTATTCGTTTGGTATAACAATTGTAATTCTTGAATTCCAATGTTTTTTATTAGAACAAGCAGTTGAACTTATCATTTAAATATCGAGTTATATTTTATGTTGATTTATAACTTGATTCTACTTTTTGTTATTGTTTTCGTTATTGTTGAAAAATAGAGTTTCCCTTTTGTTGTGAGTAAAAAACAAAGAAAAAATAAAGTTGCACACTTGTTCGGAATGACTTTACGATAAAATTTAGTAATATTTAAACAAGTCTGCAAATCACATTCCAAACAAATTCTCTTCATTGTAACAATCAAAAACACTTATTTGAAAAACATCAAATATTTCGTGTGATGTTTTAACATTAAATTTTTATTATAATTATTATTAATTATAATATTAAATATTATTATAATTACTATTGTGGTAATAATTGAGATTATAATTTTTACTTATAAAATAAACACATAAACATTATTTTCATAAAATAAATACGTTCGAATACTGTATATTAATTAATTGTTTTATAAAACTCTTCAAGTTTTTGAGTGACATTATTAATTTCAAGTCTCTTTTTGGGGTTATGTTCCCAACTTTGTTGGATAAGAATGCTAAGTTCCTCTGGTACCGATGTTGGTATTTGCAGTCGTTTTCCGCTCGATGTGAAATCTGCTATACTCCATGCGTGTTTGAATTGTACATCCGTATTTTTGAATGCAAAGTCCCATGTGAATGCCTCATACATAGTCATCGCAAATGAATAGACATCAGCTGGCTTTTTATATTTCTCTCTTTCAAGTACTTCAGGTGCCATGAACTTTGGTGTTCCAATTCCTTTTGTGAATGTCATGTTAGTCGTCAACATGTTGACATTTCGTGATGACCCAAAATCAGTCAATTTTGCTGACACGTTCATTGAATTGTCTATGCAAAACACCAAGAAGTTGTCTGGTTTGATGTCTCTGTGTAAAATGTTATTTTCATGTAAATATGAAATGCCTTTTGATGCGTCTAACATCAACTTGACTCGCACTGCAAATCGTGGCATCTCTTGTGTCGTCTTTTTAATCAAGTCGTTCAAACTTCCATATTGAGCAAATTCGGTGACCATACACACTTTACTTGGTATAGAAACAGCGCCATAGAAGTGGACGATATACTCACTTCGGAATTTGTCCAACATTGATACTTCATTCTCAAATTCTTCCATCGACCCTTTGTTGTCTCCAACTTCTTTCAACTTTTTAATAGCAACAACATTTCCTCTGTAAGTCCCTTTGTAGACAATTCCAAACGAACCTTCGCCAAGTTTCTTGTCTTCTTTCAACTCGTCGTAATCCAATTTCGTCGAGTTTTCAGTGTTTAATATGATTGGTATCGACAGCGTGGTGGTCTCACTGTTTAATATGTCCATGGTGACTATCATCATCTCGTCGTGTAATTTCATAGTGCAGTGTGGCGTCACAAATATTTCAAATTCACACGCCTCGCCTTTCTTCAAAGTCACCAATTGCGGCTCTGTGCGAATTGAGTATTTGTCGCAGCCACCACGTGTTGTGATTTGGACTTTCAAAATGCCTTTGCCTTTGTTGCCAACACAGAGGAGTTCACGCGACTCTTTTTCAACGGGAATGACTTCACTGGTGTCATCAAATGTCAGCGATTTTTTGTTGGTTAAAATGTTGTCATTTAACACACTCATTGCGATGTTTGAACGACTCATCTCAAAGACACAAACATTCTCCATTTTCTTTGTTTCTTTGCGCTTTTGTAATACGACTATTATAATTACTATAATACTAATGATAATGAGTACTATAATGAACACGGAGACGATTGGAATGCCAACTACAACGCCGTAATTTGTTGTGTGAATGCAACTCAACATGTCGTCACTCAACTTGTAGTTGTCATCACATTTTGAACATTTGTTGTTGGCAGAATCAACACAGTTCTCGATGGCTGTGTAGTGTGAACAGACACCTGACACAAGTACATTGTCTTTCACACAGTCAGTGCACTCATCGATACCATTGCATTGTGTACACGTGTCTTGACACTTCACACACAAATTGTTGGAAAGATAGTGTCCACCTTCGCATAGCACACAACCAGCTGTTGTTTTGTTAGCACACGAAGTCAACTCGCTTTGTGGCGAACACAATTTGGTGACATTTGATGACGTACGATAAAATGCCTCATTGCACACAACACAGTTCCCTTCGTTTGTGCACGACTTGCACGAATCATCGCAACTAATACACGTTGACCCATCAGATGACCGCAGGTACCCCTCCTTGCAGACTACACACCCGCGATATGTTGACATCAACACGTCACACACACTGACAAGGTCGTTTATTTCGGTGCAAACGCCGTTGCTGTTTGCATACGAGTAGTCGTCACACTTTGTGCAGAATGTTTGATTTGAACAGTAGACACAGGGGTACTCACACTTCACACACATCCGGTCTGCGAGGTAATACCCACTCAAACACCTCAGACACCCCTTTGTGGTGCTCACTTCACAGTGGCTGTCTGTCTGTGTGTCTTCGTTTTTAGTTGTTTGTTTGGTGGTCTCATTTGGAAGTGTTTGTGGCACACACAAAATTCCATCAAAGTTGTAATCGGACTCACACTCGACACATTTGGTGTTGAGTGACGAGACAACATCGCAATAAGACAACGCACCAGTTTTATCTTTGCAGCCATCAACGTCTTTGTAATAACCACTCTCACATGTGACACACACTTTGTCAAATGAACTGCAATGAATTGACTGGGTGTCTGTGCACACACCGTCAACGTTGATGGTGTTGTCACACACAATGCAAATATCTCCATTTTGGTTGTCACAATTTGGATTGTTTTGTGAACACATACCATGTGAGATGTGTTGTTTTGCATCACACTTGATACAATCACCATACGACATTACTATACACATCGCATTAGTTGTACACACACCATCTATCAACAATTTGTTTTCTTTACATTTCAAAATAGTGATAACTCCATTTGAAACGACACACACTTCACTCTCACACCGTTCAACGGTGTTGTTGTTTGTTGTGTGATATCCACTCACTGCCAAGTAACAATACTCGTTGTGTGATATTCCACAATTTTGTTTTGCTTTGCCACACAACACGTCATCAACACAATACAAACACTCGGTGCCACTTTCTCTGTTGATTTCATATTTACAATTTGTGTTAACAACACAGTTATTATTCGATGTGATCACATCTGAAACACATTTGTCGCAGCCGTGTTGCGAGTATGTCTCACACTTCTCATTCATTTCATTACAAACTCCGTTTAACAGCATCGTTGTATCACACAAGTAACACGTTGTATCGATTTGGTTGATGCACCCAACCATGTTGGTGTGTGATTGGTGATCATCTATGTTGAAGTATGTTGTAGTTGTGTATCCCAAATTGCACGCCTTCAAGTCAATTGAAGTGACGTATGGCGCAAAACATGTGGTGCAAATGTGTTGATTATTGACATAGTCTGCAATCTGACACTTTGGGATGACATTGTACGAGTAGTTGCACATCGTTTCTGTGACTTTGACCATCCCAACTTCACATGCAACACAACTGGTGCCAGTTGATATCATATTGCCCGCACACGACAGACACAGTTTCGTTGTTTTTGAACACGTCAGACAGTCGTTGTGGATATCACCACATGGTTGACAGTCGACACTTTCATTCAAATAAAATCCATCTTCACATGATACACAAATACCATCTGATGTCTCGTCTGTGCATAAATCGCAGTATCCAGATGGAGCACACGACACACAGCTGTTGTCAACTCTCTTGTTGCCGACTTCGCACGATGTGCATGCACCACTTTTTCTGTCACACTTTTTACATTCAGTTGAACACTGTTGGCACTGCAAAACGCCGCCTTCTGAGTATGTGAGGTCGCCACACAACGTACACACTCCATTGTAAAAGCCATATCCAGCAGCACATGTGAGACATTTACCATCTGTTGCATTGCAACTTGCACACGACGAGTCACACAACTTGCATGTGGTTTGTCCAACAACATCTTGGTACGCCATCTCACCACAACTCTGACACACAGAACTCATGTAGTAAGTCCCCTTTGGACATATGGCACACTTTCCAGATGCAAGACCATACCCAATCACACAATTGACACAATACCCATTCGTCGCATCACACCCATCACATTTACTGTCACATTGCTGACAAGATGGTGAACCAGCAGTTGAGTATGTCATTTCTCCACAACTTTTACACTCAGAATAGCCTTCACCAGCATAAGTACCCGCCTTGCATGTGTCACAATTGTTTGTTGTTTGATTTGCCATTGTTCCTGAATTGCACAGTGAACACACTCCATTCAAATAAACAGCACCACTCACACAGGCTACACACTTGCCACTTGTTCTTTCACATGGCCCTTGACACAAAACATTACACGTTTTGCAACTTGTTGATCCTGTTGTGCTGGCATAAGTCCCATCTGCACATGTAGAACATTGCAAACTTTTTGGTGATGATGAGTACATCCCAAATGAACACTTCTCACATTTATTTGCAACACTGTATGTACCAGCACTGCAAACAGAACATGTATTTGTTGTAATTCCCATACCCGACTCACACGACGTGCAATACCCATTTGTCTTATCACAATTCAAACACGTCGAACTGCAACTTTTGCACGTTGTGCTTCCCGCCAACGAGTATTGCATGTCGGGACACGTTACACAACTTCCACCACTTTGGTACGTGCCAGCCGAGCATGTGTCACACATTTTACCATTCATAAAATATCCGTCATAACAAGATAAACAATTTCCATTTGTTTGGTCGCACGTTTTGCAACTTGTAGAACACTTTATACACCCACTTGAACCACCGAGTGAGTAATAGCCAGTTGCACACTTTGAACACAACGAAGTTCCACCACTCGAATAATACGATGCGGGACACATCGAACAGTTCTTATTTGACGAATCGTACGAATAGCCAACATTACATGAAGTGCACTCCCCCGTCGTTATTGAACACGCTTTACAACTCGTGGAAACGCATTGTACACACGTCGAACTTCCAGTTGTCGAATAAAACCCATCCGCACACGTTTTACACGACGAACTTGCTTGTTCATCTGCATAAGTTCCTGCTCTACAATCAGTACAATAAGCACTTCCGCTGCTCGAATATGTTCCTCGACCACACGTCACACATTTTGTTGATGACGTTGGGTATTCAGAGCGTGTTCCTGCAGCACACGTTGTGCATTTTGCACTGCCAAGAGATACCGAATAATACCCACCAGTACACCCAGTGCATGTAACTGCTCCATTATCCGAATAATACCCAGCATTACATGGTTTACAAGATGCTGCTCCAGTACTACTTGAATATGTTCCAGCAGTACATTGTGTACAACTTGTCGATCCCGAAGAAGAATAAGTTCCAGCAAAACAAGTTGAGCATGTAGAAGCTCCATTTGATGACGAAAAGGTACCAGCATTACAATTTGTGCATTTGGAAGACCCGGATAATGAATATGTACCAGCTGAACAAACGATACACGTAGAAGCTCCAGTACCAGAATAATAACCCGCACTACATTTTGTACATGAAGAATCACCAGTACCAGAATACGTTCCCGCTGCACAATTTGAACATGAAGTAGACCCAGTACCCGAAGCGTATTTACCAGCAGAACACTTTGTACACGATGATGACCCGTAGCTTGACGCAAAATATCCAGGAGAACACTTTGTACATGATGAAGCACCAGAGCCTGAATACGAGCCAGAGGGACATGAAGTACACGATATCGTTGTACCACCCGAGGAATAAGTACCCGCTCGACAAGAATAACAAGTTGTTCCAGAAAGATATTGCCCACTACTACATGATGTCGCGGCATTGGTTTTAGTTGTTAATAAAATTAACAGCAAAGTGTTGGTCACAAAACAAAGCATGCTCTTTGTTAAATGAAATAAAAGTTTCATGTTTTTTAAACATAAAAAAATATTCGGTTTTTTATTTTTGTGTTTCAAATCATATAAAAAAAATTCCAATTGTTTTTTTTATAAATATAATTATAGTATTTATTTATAATTTTGTATATATTTATTAATTTTTGAAAACAAACAGGTTTTTGTATTTTTTTATTTTATACTATATTTTATGTTAAAATATATTTAATAAAAAGTTTAGAATTATTTAAACCTAAATTTTTTTATCATGAAATATTTGACTAACAAACAAAATTTTATTATAAATACAATAAAAATTGGCAAATATATTTGTTTATATAATAATTTTGTATTTGTAATATTTTTTTCTGTGCTAGGTAAATAAATAACTGTGATAATATTGTATTAAATATTAAAAAAAATTTAAACTATTAAATTTTAAGATTAATAGTGGTAAATATGTAGTTATATATATATAAATAAAAAGTTATTAATAAATCATAATTCTTTAAAAAGACAAGACTCAAAAATTATGTTTGTTTTATTGTTGAAAATAGTTTATATACCAATTATAGGTTATTTTATTTTGATTAATTAATAAATCAATCATCACATTACAATAAAACGTGTGTTTTCTGACTTTTTTGAGTAATTATTTTTTAAATAATATTGATGCACAGATAGCGTAATTATTTAGTGTGATATAAATATTTAGATCAGACTTTATTTTATTAAAGGATGTGGTTTTGTTCAAATACCAAACATTATACCAAAATAAAGTAAAAATAGTTATCATTAAAACTTAACACTTTAAAGCTTCCTTTTTTCAATTTATATATGAAATTTTTTAAAAAAGAAAAAACTCGTTTGAGCTCCTTTGTGGATTTATATCCTTGTGATTTTAGTTAAATTAATATTCAAATGATAACAAAAATCACTAAGATATTCGAATTATTGTTGTTTTGTACCATCTCCAAGTGTTTCATTAGTTAAGCAATTTGCCAAGACGACGAATGTTTGTAATAAGCGTTTTGTCGCCACTCGAAGTGACATTTCATTGATATGATTCACACAAATTCGTAGCGTGTTATTATCGTAAATATACATACTAGCAATTAAAAAATAATACGTCTGTTTTTTCTAACAAGATTAACCTTAACAACCGTCGCTAAAATAAAAATTTTCATCATAATATTCAACGTTAAACATATTACTCAATTATGTATTGACTTAAAATAACTAAAAAAACAACACAAACTGTTATTCTTTGAACTTTTGTTATATATGATCAGCGGAGTCATACTTTACTTCAAGGACTCGATTAGATATTATCGTTTTGAATTTTGGAAATTATTTAATAAAATTGTAATAAATAATATATCTGTTTTAATAGTTCGGCGTAATAGTATGTTGTGTTTTAATTAAAAAAATTCTGGGAAAAAATACACAATAAACTCCAACGTGTTAAAAATTTAATTTTATTATCTTTAGTAAAGACAATTATTAAAATTTTTTAAATAGTTTTTTGTTTGACTTAAATTTAAACATGAAGAAACATTATCAAATTATGGATTTTTAGTTAAACCACACTTTTAACATAAAAATATTTTTAATAATAATATTACAGTAGAAAGCGTTTTAGTTTCTTAAAAAATCTGTTTAAATTCTTTATAATTCAGTTTATTTCTTTGTCTTTTTTTAAAAATTCCAGTTTCAGCTTTTTAAATTCCATTCATTCTTTTTATATTTCCATTTGTGTTTTTAACAATTCCTTTTATTTCATCAATTTCCCACATTTTCAGTACAATTACACTCATTTTTGTCATTTCTTTCTATTTCACAAACTTTCTCAAGTGTATTTTTAAAGTTTCTTGTCTCTCAATTTTATTTCTTTTCGTTTCAAAAAATCGAAAAAGATCCAATTACAACAAAGATATAATATTTAAACAAATTAATAATTACAAATTCATATGGCTCTTGAATATATTGATGCCAGAGAACCAGTTGTACGATCTCGGTACATCGAAAACTCTCCTGAACCAAGGGAAGGCACTGTCGCAAATGTGGAACCAACACATCCATTTATACCACCTCTCCAACTTACACACCAAAGAGGAAGACCAAGAACAAGCACCAGAATGACTACTGAAAAGCGACCATATGTGAGGGTCTCTCTTAGTGCCAAAAGAAAATTAATATCCGAATTTAGAATACATGGAGATGACGAGAGCCCAACGTATTATTCAACTACTGTTGGGATCAATATTGTTAACGTCAACAAACTACTTAGTCTACTCAGGAAAGGCAAATCAATTCTTCCAGAGAATCACTTTAAAAGAAAGTCTAGAGTTGAGCCATTTCAAAAATTAGTCACAAAAGTTTATGAATACGACCCAACACTATCAATAACTAAAGTCAGAAGTGTGGCTCGAACTGCAATGGAAATAGAGAATACCACAAGTATTGAACAAGTCGAAGACATTAATGAAGAAACAATTTCGGGTATTTTAAATAACACAGCGAATATACCACAAAGAGGAAAAGAAGAAACCCGCCTTTTAAATGATTTCGTTCAACACGCCCTCCCATCCACTTCAGCTTTTCTGCGATTTATCAGAGGAGACTCAGGAGATGAAAACACCAGAACAATCCCAGTTCTGAGCTTCAAAAGAGAAACGAGGAGAGGTGTTGTTGCTAATACAGAGGAGAACAAAACAAAACGAATTGAGGCAATTGAGAGATTATATGGCTATATTAGAGAAGGCTACAGTTGGGTCTGTGTTGACGAAACTTCATGGCGTGTGTGTTGCACTTCGAAGTATGGGTGGAGTGAGAGAGGCAAAAAATGCTTCATAACAAAAGCTAAAGGAGGGCTAAGACTGTCCAGTGTAAGTGCTATCGACATTCAAGGGACTTCTTATTGTAATATTGTGGCTGGAAAAAACGACAAAGAAATGTTCCAGGCTTATATGAAGAAACTCATCCATCACTATGATCAACTTAACATCCGGGTCGTGTTTTGGATGGACAATTGCAGCATTCATCGGGATTTGGAAGAATTGTTAGAGGGGACACAACACACGATTGTTTTTAATGCAGCATATAGCCCGGAGTTAAATCCAATTGAAAACGTTTTTGGATTTTGGAAAGCGAGATGTGAGAGGGATATCAGACTGTGGTCTTCTCTTGAAGAACTTCTTAACAAAATATCACTTTCGTTTCAGAGTATACTCCCAAATGAAGTAATTGGAACAATGGAACGCTGCAGGACAGAAATATGGAGTAAAGCTTTCGCCAGAGATAATCTTTAATTGACTCGTTCGGTCGTAATTTTTTGAAACGAAAAGAAATAAAATTGAGAGACAAGAAACTTTAAAAATACACTTGAGAAAGTTTGTGAAATAGAAAGAAATGACAAAAATGAGTGTAATTGTACTGAAAATGTGGGAAATTGATGAAATAAAAGGAATTGTTAAAAACACAAATGGAAATATAAAAAGAATGAATGGAATTTAAAAAGCTGAAACTGGAATTTTTAAAAAAAGACAAAGAAATAAACTGAATTATAAAGAATTAAAACAGATTTTTTAAGAAACTAAAACGCTTTCTACTGTAATACATTTATTTTTAAAGTAAATAAGCCATCAACACGAATAGATTCACCTTGATAGCTTTAATTTATAATCAGAATATATAACAAAAATATTATATTTTTAATATTTTTTATAATAACATATAAAAAATAAACAAGATACTTATTGAGTCACCAGTTGTGGAGCTATTTGTGGTTGTGTGTTCATTTCTTGTTGACCTTGCATTTGTTGATTAGTTTGTAGCGGTACTGCCCCGTATTGTCCGTTTTGGTTGTTCATACTAATTCCCTGATCCATGACACTTTGTTGTTGTTGCATTTGAATATCAGTTGGTTGGTATTGTGAATATGAATTTGGTGGAGGACACGTATATCCCATAGTTGGATTCATTTGTACCATCTGCTGTTGACCACTGTAATAGCCTGGCGGGTTTTGAACAGGTGGTGGGTACGTATTAGATGTCGGTGGGTTCATGGTTTGGCCACAAGTACTTGTTTCACTCATTTTAATTTCCGGCTCGGGTGGTGTCATAGCTGGGGGGTCAGCAGGTGGCGGTGTTTTAGACTTTTTGCTTTTACAACAGTCACAGTCGCAATCACAACAACAATCGCAACAATCCTTGCAGTCAGACTTTTTACAATCGCATGACTTTAAGGATCCACAACACTCAAAACAAGCAACACAACATTCACAAATACCAACGCACAATTCACAAATATCACATATTGACATTTGTGGATGATTATTGGATTTTTCGGTTCATTCGATTTCGGTTTTTATTTGCAATTTAAATTCCTCTTTTATTTTTAATTCGATTTTTATTCAAATGTTTGTAAAATGTTATTTAATTATTTGATGCGATTTTTGGTCATTTGTAATTAGTTTTTTAATTGTATTTGCTTCGGCATTTCTTTTATGTTAGATAACACCAAAGAGTGATATACTATTTAAATACTTTTATATATTAACGACCACCACTTTGTGTAAACAGTTTAAAAAACAAATTATTTTTCAAAAATAATATAACATTTGTAATAATATTTTATAGTTGCATTATTAAAAACAATAATGGTCAAATGTTATTGTAATGTTTGAGAGGAACATACACAAAATTTGAAATTTTAACGTATAACTACAAAAATTGTATATGGTTTTATTAACAATTTCATTAATAATTTGATTAGTTAATATCACAAATAATTTATTAAAAATAATATGTTATAATTAAAATGTTATTCAAATTGTAATTTTTTTTATTTTCAAAAAGTGTTATTTATTTGAAATAAACAGCGTTAATACCAGACTCGATCAAAAAAAAACAAATTGTTGCATGTTTTCAATGTGATTTGTGTGTTTGTTTTCTAATCGTATGCATTTTTGTTCAAAGTTTTTCAATGTGATATATTTGAATTGTTAAAATAACTAAATACTTAATAATAATTATTTGTTATCAATACAAACAATTTAAATTTGTAATAGTAACTTCAACTAATTTTTATATAACGACAAATTATTACAATTAACAATATTTCAAAAGATCGACAAACAATATTAAAAAATAACATAAAAAATCTTGTTTTTAATAAGTAATTCAAAAACGGTTATTCAAAAAATGCAAAAGCTCGGTCTTCTTAGTTTTGAAATATTTTATTAGCATCATGTATTGTATTGGACTGGAGTGCGTTTGTAAAAAGTTTTACAATAATCCAATAAAATTTCATTACAACACAATTCCACTAACTCAAACAATCATTATCTATTTTTACATATTGGGACACTCATTTTATAGCACTGTTGAATATTTCTAATTACAAATTACATCATAAAATGATCATTTTTATAACCATTGAAATGTATTTTTGTGTCCCATTTCATACAATTTTAAATACAAAACGTCGAAAATCAACATTTTGTTTCCGAAAACATGACATATACAAAATATGGAAACACTCCTCCAAACAATGTAAACTCTTTTGAAAATTGCATCTTTAAGGGGGGCATAACACTCTCTAATATTACCATTCACCAACAAATGACGTCTTTACGTGACAACTTTTTTAGTTGTTGCACCAACTCGAATTTGTGATATTGTAGAACGTCAAAAGAATCAAACTGATTGTTTAACCAATGTGTATTCTTTTCAATAGTATTACCTTCAAAGCTATAATAATCTAGGAAAGGGCTTTTTACTGCTGTCATAACCTCTATTATATCACTGTATCAAATAGTGTTACAAATTTGGTTCTTAAAAAATCATGTTTTGAATAGGACATAATAATTTTAAGCAAAAATCTGAAGAAAATATAATTAAATACAAAGCAATTGGAGAATCTGTGTTTGCTGTAAAAATAAAAGAAATAAAAATACATCAAGGAGAACAAGAATTAATATTTTTTAATGTCTTTAATTGAGTAGAGTTGAATTAAATAACAATATTAAAAGACTGGGCGATAAGTGTTTTGATTTTTAGGCAAGGTTGTATGCATTTGAACTTCCAGGGTCACTCACTTATATTGAGAATTTAAACATATTTATTTTATAAATGGAGATATTGATTGGTAAAAACTTTGTTATTTGATAATTATTTTTTTAACAGAGCTGTTTTATAATAATGTGATACAGTAAAACCTCCCAAAAGCGGTACCTCTGGAGAGCGGGTTCTCTCAAGAGCGGGCATTTTTTAGACTGAAACTATAAATAGAGTTCTCTATCGAATGGTAATTAAAATTTGATTGGATAAAAATGCCCGCTCTTGAGAGAACAAAATTACCACACATGACCGCTCTTGGGAGGTTTTACTGTAGTTACATTTTAATTTTTCTGTTTTTTGGATTCAAAAAGGTTTTTTATTTTAAATACAAGCCGGTTAGAAAAATGTATAATATATACAGAAAAGGTTAAAACCGCTTACGTTTTTTTACCGCTATTAATCATTTTAATAGTTCCAAATAATAACATTATAATTAAAAGTATGATACAAATTAACACCTCGAACAGAAAAGTCTCTATAAAGCATTTCAGTTTTCATGGTAAACATTGACATACATCGAATTATATTAATAATAATTAAATCTACAAAATCAAATCTAAGCAATTAAGAAAACAAAACCAAGTTTTTTATACCCTTGTAATATGAATAATTACATTTTTATATTTGTTTTTCTGAAGAAGGGGGTTTCTTAAAAATACAAATATTTAGCCAAACAAATTATAAAGATTGATTTATTGATAACTTACATTTTCAGTTTAGATTTAAAATACCTGCTTTCAAATAAACAAAAAATCAACAATTCTTAAATTTTTAAATTTTTAAATTTTTAAATTTTTAAATTTTTAAATTTTTAAATTTTTAAATTTTTAAATGTTTAAATTTTTAAATTTTTAAATGTTTAAATGTATTAATGAATTTCTAATTTTATCAAAATAATATAAAATAAATAGGTATTTTTAATTTCATTTAATTAAAAATAACATTTGAAAAACTTTTAAAACAAATCCAACATTTCCAACAATTTCTATATATACAAAACAGTTTATTCACGAGTCGAGTAAATTTGAATGATTTCTTTTTGTATTTTAATTGTTATGAACACAAGATTATATTATATAAAGGTACCCAAACTTTGGATTCACATTCAATGATATCATTCTTTATGTTTATAGCCGCAACATTGTCAGTTTATCCTGACAACATCACATTTCCTGCTTACTACTGGCATTTCAAAATCGGGATAAAAGGCACATATGGAACCGAAAGAAACCAAGGGTATGAACTTAATGTTCCAAGTAATATTGGCACAAAATGTTTAACTGTCACAACAGGCGTCTCTATGATGATGCAAGGTAAAGAATTGAGTATATATGACAATTCAGAATGTGATCTATATAGAAAAACATATATGAACCAAGAAGCAATATGGAAAAATTGTGGGATATGTAATGGGTTTGGTGTGCTTGGATACGGGTTTTCTGCCAATTATGTGTTGGATATACCCACACCGATAATAGGACAAATACTTGCAGATACCGACAAACCAAATTGTCCCACTGGTAATTATGTCACAAATTATATTCGCGCGACTACAACTGATTTACTTTATAACTATATGTTTGGTGGTGCCAATAATGTTTTGAACTTTGGATTTAGAATAAATCAGACCGATAAAAGTCATATAAGAGGCGAATGGCTTGACAAATTACCTACTGACAAAACTGCTCAAGTGTTATACAGCATCGAAGATAAAAAATGTACCAACATCGGTAATCACTGGATAAAAATTCAATTGGATACATTTGATATTAATAATTGTGAAATTGTGATCAAACCTGGAGAATGTTACAAGAAAAGAAATGAAGTAACTCCTCCCAAACCAGAAAAGTCTGAAGACTCTGAAGATTATTCAAAACAACCAAATTCAGAAGAAGAAATTAACACAAATTCAGTAGTGCCGATATTAGGTGTCGTATTTGCAATTGCAATTATATTTTTCATCTAATTAATTTCATTGGTTCATTTATTAATCTAAATTCAAAAATAATCATATATTCAATTGTTGTTGTTTATAAAATTAATTAATTTAAACACATTATATTTTATAAAAAAACAACATTTTACTTTATTTATAAATAAACATAATTTTTAAATTTTTGGTATTTTTTAAATAATAATTTAAATTATATTAAACAACGTTTTATTTTCTTCAAACAACAATAATGCTTATAGCATAAAAACTAAATAAAACAATAACACTTTTTTTGCTTGACAGGGCATGTTACATTATTCAATTTAGTCAATTTTAATTGCTATTTTCAAATAAAAATGTCACATTTTATATAGTCATATAATCGGAAATGATATTTCAAAAAGGTTTTTAAAAACATTTATCATTTGCAATTTTTATTTTGAATCTATAAAAAATCCCTTATCATATTGTTAAAAAAAATCTGATTATGTTATTACAAACTTTGCTGGTAATAATAAAAAACATACAGATCGAGTATTTACGCGGTGCCAGAATTTTTTTCAAGAATTTTATTAAGTTTGGCACCCATTTTCATATTAAAAAAATATCAAGAAAAAAACAAAAAATAAACCCGAATTTATACATCAATAAATCCTCTAATTTCTTGGCACCGATTAAATACTACATCTGTATGTGACTTTAATTAATGTTTTAGTTGTGGAAGTAAACGCAAAAATTGGAAAATTGAAAGTTGAAAGCGCCATAGAAGTCAAACAAACATTCTGTTTTAAAATGATAAAATTGAACAACAATAATTCATAAATATCGTTTTCACAAAGTGATATGAATACCGTTAATTATTAATTAAAAAAGCAAATAAATATTAATAAATGTTTATTGTATAGAACAGTTTATTTTGAATCAAATTTGACAAAAAAATGATGACTGTAATGAAGTTTAAGTTATTAAAAAATGCATAACTTCATGTGTACTTAATAAAAATATGAACATAAACAACATAAACATATGTAATATATACAAGTGATGGGTATTAAAATATATTTTTAATAATGTTGAATTTAAATACGCGTGTTGATTTTGTCAAAGCTTTTATAATACAACACAAAAAGGATCATATTTGCAATAGATAATAATCATTATATAATCGTTTTTAACAATAATTTCAATGTACAATACAACTTTTATTTATAATTTTAATTCAAAAAACAATTTTTCAAAATTTTAAAAAACATCAAAATAAAAATAAACCAAGTTATAATAATATGATATTTGTTGTTGACAGGAGTGGAATAATTAATGCTTTTAATATTTTAATCAATTTACACTAACAATTTATTTTTTTTTTGATTATACTATCACTTATTTTTGAAAACAAAGTAAATGATAAACATTATGTTTTTTGTTGAATTTAATAATGCTAAAATCACTGAAATGACATACTATTGAAAAAAATAATCGGTTAAATCGTATTAAATTTGTTTGTTAACACTTAAAAGGTATAGAAATTGCGTTTTTGGGAAATGATGTTTAAGAATAACAAAATTATTCAATTTTATAATGTTTTATAATAATTTATATAAAATAGTAAAAACTTATAAAATTAAACTAGTCTTGACTTAAAAAATTGAATGGTGGTTGAAGTCAGAACGGACACTTTTTTTGTCTGCCCGATTTTACACGCCCAAATAATTTAAAAAATATTTGCATTTGTTGCATTTTTGACAAGCCCCTCAAAGTTAATTTCTCCATTAATCGTTAGGACCTCTATTTGTACAACTTGTTGAGTCCATAAAGCCGCATCAATTTATGTTTTTATTTATGAACGTGTAAACACAATTTATTTTTTGTCATTAATTTAAAAAATTGAATAAAAAATAAAAATAAAAATAAAAATAAAAATAAAAATAAAAATAAAAATAAAAATAAAAATAAAAATAAAAATAAAAATTTTAAAGAAAAATTAAAAAATTAAAAAATCAAAACCAAACTCAATTAAATAATTAAAAGTTCTTTATTTAAAAAGAAAAAAAACAAAGATGTTTATATTAAAGTTAATGGCAAATCCGATTTTTGGTTAAACCATTTTTATATTGTCCAATCAAATATATATATAAATATAACAAATACTAATTAATTAAACAACAAAATAAAATAACAATTATATTATATTATAATTTATAATAAAATTTGGTTATTTTAATATTATATTATTATATTTATTGTGTTCATCTAAAAATAAAAATGAATTATAATCAATAAAAATAATATATTAATAATAAAAATAATCAAACCCCCAAAAACTATGAAAAACAAGATGTTTATGTCTCTGGAAAACAAATGGTATTATAAATATATAACCAAAATCATAGGAGAAATGCATTAGTATAAATGCAATTTTTGTCCAGTCATAGCAAATCTTTCTGTGGAGGAAAACGCAAAGGTACTTACACACTTTCAAGACATCTATTTAGATTTCATAAAGAAAAAATATTAGCTGAAGAAGCTGAACTTGATATGAAATTCACTTTAGAAATTGATGATGAAATTTGGAAGGAAGTCAAACTATTAATGAAATTTTTCATATCTGCAAATATACCTTTTTCGCAAACACAAAATCACTTTTTAAGCGAATTAATAACAATACTCAATCCAAATATTTAGTTTATCAAGTGAAAATGTTGATCACTATTTAGAGCGTTTATTTCGAGAAGAAGTAAATATTCAAAAACAGTTTATTGATGATAATCTCATTCCTTCAAAAACTTATATCACTACTGATATGATGTCAAAGCTCGGAAAGATTTTTATTGTGGTTACTTTAAGATCATCTTTTCAAGATTTCATGACTATAAATCAAATACTCGAAATTGGTGAATTTACTGAGACATATAAATCCACCGCTATTTGCAATGGAGTAAAACGGATATTAGACAGAAATAACATAATCACAAATATATTTGCCATAAATACTGACAATGGTACAAATAACAATATGTTAGGTTCTCTTTGTGAGAATAAGTTGGGGTGTGTTGTTCATACAACCAATTTGCTATTTAAAGATGTCGTCAAAAAATATCCACAATTCAAAATTCTGTTAAAATTTCTCAATAAGTTTTCCAAATCAACACAAATGTCTCCTGAATTGTCAAAAACACTTTAAATTAACTGTGAGACGTGTGATGAAAAATACTCTACAAATAAGACATTTTTACAGACACGATTTAATTGTTGTGCTCGGGTATTTGGCTATTTGAGACAAATGATAAAAAACATTCAAAGGCTGGGAACAAAATGTCCACTGTTGAAAACAGATTGGGATATTGTTGATTCAATTTATGATTACTAAAGAGTTGGATAATATGTATAATACACTTTCTTCGGATAAAACATGCCCGGTGTGTGATGTTGTTATTTGTATTATGAAATTGTGTGAAGTAATCAATCCGAAATTTATTTTGGGAACAAATGTAGAAAACAAAAACATTTTTGAAATACTCGATCTTTTTGATATTGACAAAATGTTTGAAAAACACAAAAAAAGAAAAAAGAACGAAAAACAAAAAAAACAAATTAAAAAAACAAAAAAAAACAAATTAAAAAAACAAAAAAACAAAAAAACAAAAAAACAAAAAAACAAAAAAACAAAAAAACAAAAAAACAAAAAACAAAAAACAA